ATTCTTCTATTTTATTCAGATTTAAACACCTGGAGTCATGTTTTATCATTGGTACCTAAATCCAGAGAGATACTTTGTTTCAGTTCACACACATAGGATTTCTGCTGACATAGTAGAGATGTATACAGGTTTTTGCAAGAAATGCAAATATTAGCATGAGAACTGAAACAGGAAAAATATCACTGAAGTGTTAAAATGCGAGCACGTCCCAGCTTTTGTTTCACTTGTGTAGCCATAGTGCCCTCTAGCAGCCGAAAGAGAAAATACAAGGCTTTACCTGGAGAAAAAAACCCAAAAAAACAAAAACCACACACACGAAATCAAAAGTGATTTTGTTTTTTTGGTTTTTTTTGGTTTTTTTTTTGTTTTAAAGCAGAAAAAAGACAGTTTGCAAATGAGAGGAAGAACTTTGCTTCATGTAAAAACAAGGTACTTTAATGGAAAGGACACTTAGCTTCTATGTAGCAGAGCTCTGCAGAACTGGGAAGCTCTATAAAAATGAGGGGTTTTACCCTAAAGGCATTTCTGTGCCTCAGCAGATCTCAGCTACACTATACAAGCACTAGCAACATGCACCTGACTTTAGCAAAAGGATACAGATTCTTACCTGCATAGATCAACACACATTTTTGCAAATCTTTTTTTCTCTTTGGCTCAAATATCTTTATTACACAAAATTTTATGCAAGACAAAGAATAAATTATGACCTTTAAAAGCTAAAAAACTTGTCATTTCCCTAGAGAGTAAATTATTGCTTTGAGTTCATGGGTCATAGAGCTGGGACATATCCTGTCTGGCTGCAGACTATCACAAAAACATTTTTGAGGAGCTAGTGTTTCTGTTCCTTTTAAACTAGGTTTAAGAAACAGAAGCCATTCTTCAGCAACTAGGAAAAGAACATCTGCACTGTTGAAGTTTTCAGGCCTGTAAACAATATTTCCGATTTCCAGTAATCTTCTGAGCTTGTCAGGAAATTACTTTCTCCTGGGAGAGAAAGTGCTTTTCTCCCTTTTCTTGGCAGATAAAGAGTGTACATTAGATGATATCAGAAGATCTTTTTAAAGAAAATTTTTACCCATCAAATTACTACCAAAATATTTATGTACATCTGCAAGACAGAAAAAATAAAATAGTGTAAAAGAGTAAAAAGGCTATTCTACCCTCTCTGTTTCCAAGAGGTCAAAATGAAACAAACAGGTCTACTGTAGATGTTTTTCAGAAAAATGAATTTTGAAGAGTATATGTCTCAAACTTTTTTCTTTTATTTGCTGATAAGAAAATACTAAAATCCAGTTCATCAACTAGACCAGACAGATTTGCTAAATATGATATTCCACTCTTTGGCAGACAGAAGTGAGAAACTGAATCAATCTGTTCTGCTAACAAAGCAAGAAAAAGATTGGAATTCAAGAATTAAAACTATAATATCAAAATTACTACACTATACCATAGGGTCAGATGAGATGATTTTCAAAGACATCAACTGGTCTCAGGATTACAAGCCTTACTGCAAGAAGAAGAAAAAAAAGTTAATCTTCACTCAAACCAAGAACAAAGAACAACCATTAAGTTTTAGCATTAACACATATAGAAGGATTTTAAAAATAATTATCTATTAGGAAAAATAGATTGTATGGGTGGTATAGGTGGTATGTTCTTGAAATCCTTCTCATTGGAGTTCCCACTAGATCTCAACAGAATTCAAATAAAGATTGAAATCACTGGTCTATTTTTGTTGTATTTTTGATGTCCTCAGAGTAAAAACATGGTTCAGAATAAAACATGCAGAGGCATATTTAAATAAAAAAAAACTTATAAGACTGCAGTATTTAGAAACCTGTGCAACAAGCACACTAGTGCATTTAAAAAGGTCTACATTGACCTCTTTACAGAGTCCACAAAAACTAAAGGTTCATCTGCCCCAAGGATAAATTTACAGACATATTTGCTCATTAGAGAAAGATGAAGCTTTCTTCTTTTATCTTGATCAAGAACTTTTACTTTGTCTGACTTAACAGGTTCATTTGAAAGTAATCAAGTGCTGTAACACCAATACAGTAAGATACAGCTCCAGTCAGAACACTGTGATGAATAATAAAATTTTTTTCAAATTTCAATTGTTTTCCCAGAAACCCCTCAAATTTCTGTTATTTGTTTCAGTTGCTCTAAATTTAAATTTTTTCATTGTAACTTACTGTCTTAGTTGTAATAAATATAAGTAATACAGGATTAAATCTGACTATATCTCCATTAGTTGCAACATAAAATAAAAAGCAAATTTGAATTAGTCAATGAGGTGTTTCATTGAAGGTCTCTACCCCTTTATATTACTTTGTGTGTTTGTACAACTGCAGTGCATGAGTGGTCTTAAGAGAAGGAAAAATATGAAGAGTTCTGGCCATAAATATTGTTTCAAGGATTTATTCTTGTTAATCTACTGTTCTGTAGAGATTGTAATATAGTCTGAATTACTCATTCTCTTTACTTCAAATGTTTTGTAGTTCAACCAAATCTAGTTTTAAACAATATTGCCATTGAATTGCATGTCAGCTGACATCTTACTCAAATCCTTTAGCATCCAAGTGGAAAATCACATACCTTCTTAAATGTTACCTTTTATTCCATGGAAATTTTGAAAAGCTGTACTGAGGAAAACCAAGCCAGCAGGATGTTTGGTTTGTTGACTGAAACAAGGATGCTGCTCCAGGTGACAAAAGATTTCACTGTAAGCTATGTTAATAAGGATCTGACTCAACTGAAGTGACAAGCATTGGCTAAGGTAGCAGCAAAAAGATGGAGGGAAGAGCAGGGCTAGTCAAGGAAGACAGAGCAAGTCAACAAGAAATCAAATGAAGAAAATAATTTGACAGTGACAGAAATCTGTATAGAATTCATTCAGACTGTAACTGGGACACTGCATTCTTATACTGAATGTCACACAGCCACAGATTGGTTTTGACTGGGGTTGGTTTTAAAATGAGAATAAGCCAAGCCATTCTGATCCAGGTGTCTTTCAACCACTCAGAATGTCACAAGGTAACAGCAGGGAACAAAATACACACCAGTAGAAAGTTTGCAGAAGGAAGGCGATAAAAAGAATTTTAAAAGGTTTCCTCCTTTGCAGGGTGTAAAGTTTCAGTGAAATGAATCTTGGATGGATGCATTACCAGGCTGAATTCAAAACAAGTAGGCAAACTCGGAACCCAAGTTTTCAAATTATAAGATACAGCAACTTCAGGTGATTTGTAAGAAGCACCTGTGTAGTAAACACACTTATAGTTGGTGGTAGCTTGTGTTGAGTGACTGCAGTGAAAAGGCAGGTTTGAACAACAAAGCATGCCACACAAACACTTTATGGAGCATGGACAGTGTTTCACTGTGCTGTACCTGTTCTGTAAGACAACACACAAAAAAATCTCCACATCGTGGATTGTCAATTTGGCCCCCTTCAAATGTATTAAATTAATTAAATAAGTAGGAAAGCTTGCACTTAATTCAGGGAATTAGAACAGCTCATTCAGAGCACTGGATAAAAAGGTTCTTAAAATATTTTATTTTGCCTGAAATTCAGTGTAAAAGGAAATCAATATCCCAAATACAATTCCTTACGGCAAAATTTAGAACTTAGTGTAACAAGCACGGCAGTCAATTGTGACATTTCAATGTGAAACTAGGACTGTACAAAAATTTAAGTGCATGTTTTTTGCAACAAGATATGCATACACATCAGGACAGAGGGGAAAATCAAACAAAAAGCTAAAAAAACAAACAAAAAAACCCCCAAAAAACCCAAAAAAACTCCCCAAAAACCCCAGAATCCAGTTCTTGAAATCCCTTCAAATAACTGAAAAGCACAAACAAAAATTCTACAGCTGGAGCTCTTCTCTCTAGAATGCTACTACTTCTACTTTCCTCCATTCCTACTTTGGAATTGAAAAAAAAAAAACCAAAAAACACAGGGACATGACTTATACCCATTCTACCCCTCTTTCCAGCAAAAGACAAAAACAGAGACTAAAGAAAACACCCTATTAACTGAAGTACTACCACAAAATCACAGAATATTCCAAGTTGGAAGGGACTCACAAGGATCATCGAGTCCAACACTGAAGTGAATGGTGGTACAGGCTCATATCCATCTATTTGTTAAGTAAGACAGTGGTTTTATGATGCACTCGTTAATGAATTAATGGGGGGAAAAGATTAAATCAAAACAACACCTCACCCACTCCCTTCAAAAAAAAACAAAACCCAAGAATTTAATACTTAACATGGGTTTCCTTTTGAAACCAGTCCAGTAAAATGCCACTAAGTAGAAATAAAACCAAGTCTTCCTGAGAAGTCCTTTACTGCAAAAGAGTAGGCAGTTCCCCTTCCTAAGAAGCACCTTCAGACCTCATATACCAGAAAGACCAGCTAGAAAGACCCAATGAAGACTTTCTGTAGAGTACACTAACATTTCACCTATTTTTGAATGGTGAATATGTGCTACAGTGTGAACACAGGATTTTCCATGTGCTTCATTTGAAATGAAAAAAAGTAATCATAAAAACACAAGAATATAAAAAAATGCATAAGTTGTGTACTCAAATGTTTAGACTATTACCTACTAAGTACTGAGATTCTCCTCACATATTTTTCTAAACTGTATTTCAGTACTGCATGTAATTTTTGTGGCATCAAACTTTCTTCTAGAGTTGCCCAGTGCAAGATATATAAAAAAAATTCCTTATTGTTGAGGGTACTATTCTATTTAAGATTTGACTTGCATCACTTCAACTTCAGAACATCCAAAAGTTTTTATGAAGAATACACCATGTGTTAATGTAGATAAAACACGATTGAGATTGGTTTCATATATTCAGTATTATTTTAGTGTAAGTGATAGTGATTCAAGCTCCTTTTGTGAACATGGGGGTGGGGGTTGCCATCTGGAATGGTCTTTTCTCTTTTTTTTCTTTTTTTTTTTTTTTTTCATCATGAAGGACCATTGCCTTAGCTTTTTTGGTTATTGCTTTTTTTTTTTCTTTTTCTTTTTTTTTTTAAGACCATTCCATTTCTTTATTTTTTTAACATCTTAAAGTCATAAGGACTTATATGCAAAGCAGTCATACACTTTATCATTAAAACCCATAGGTAAAATACGTACACAAATCCAACAAAAGGCTAGTACATAGTAAAGCCTAAGCATACTACTATGCAATATTATGAATACATAACTTTAGAGACTTCAGTTTAGTACTGTTATCTATTCATTTCTGAAAACATTCACAAAGATTTTAAATGCAAATTTTCATTCCGTATCTGGAATAGAACAAAAATTATCTATGTTATAACAACTTTTGGTCATTTGTGTTTGACCAATTCAGTAAATTACAAAGAACCCAAAGAATTCTGTAACTTTCTGTAGAACTATGTAATAAAAACATTGCATATGTTCCTAGTATGATGTCTTTAGCAATCATTTACTGAAATGTAACTCAAACATCAATCTCTCAAAATGTATAACCGACCAGCTGCTTTTTAATCTATATCTGAATCCAACTTCATCACAAAACCCCTTTTAATACAAAGATGCAGAAGTACATTAGGTAATACTAATGCAACACAGGTGCAGCTCTAGCATTGTCGTTGATCAGTTGAATCATCTTCTCCATGAACGAGATTCATTCTCCTCTTCCTCTTCATCATCATCTTGAAGCAGTGAGTCATCCACCAAAGATTCTTCCTGAAACTTCAAGAGAAAAATGTGATAACCATTATATCAAAAAATGTTAAAAATCAAAAGGCAAAATACGAACCTCTGGCACTTGCACATTAATACAGAAGAAAATTTGGTTGTGAATAGGTAAACATTAATGCTTTCAATAAAGTACACTGGATATATATGTCTTATATAGATATATTACTAAATGGCAAATGAAACCTTTTTCAATAGACTTCAAGATGACCATGACACATGCACCTCATCCTTAAACAGCTCTTCTGATTCTTCAGCATATCATTCATGTCCAAGCTGCTATATTCACATGAAACTTAATATGCTATACTGAAAACTAATGTTTTTTTGCATGTTCACAGTATCTACATCTATTTTCATCCAAGAGCGTAAATGCACATGTTCCAGAATATCAAAAAGGCTGAATCTGGGATTTTTTGATTTTGACAGCTTAATCAAGATTGAAATCAATATAAAAATTTAAACTAGGCAGGGAGACAGGTATTTAGAGGAATTCAGACACACTGTATTAGTATATTCTCAATTCTGTTCCGTAAGATAGTAACTTGACAGACTTCAAAGCCTTTGAATGTAAGTTGATTTAATTTCTATCTACATATAGACATAGAGGTGTACATAAACTATCCTATCTTGGAAATTTTTTGATCATCACCCCTAACACAGCAAACTCTGCTATTGCTAAAGAAAGGAATAAAACACAAGGATGTCTTTCCCTAGCAAAACTGCCCAGCTGTTAGATCGCTGCTGTGTTCTTATTTATTCTTTGTGTCTAAGGAATGGTAGGTTTTTTGCTACAGTATTTCCAAATTCAGCACGAGGTGTGAAGGTTGATTTGAAAAACTATGAAGTCTTCTGAGAGAGAAACTACTATCTTCATTAGTCTTGCATATGAAAAGCACAATTTCAAAAGGAGCTCTGTTAACTCCTTACCTGTCTATCAATGTATGCCTGCACAGTCTGACCCTGACTAAAACACAGAAGCTTTCTGAGGACTTAGATTCTTTCCCGGTATTCCCCAATGTTCAGTGAGCTAAAATACAACACTGCAACAGTCAAACAGGAGTAGTCCTGGGCAGTGCACAGCACAGAACTCTACAGAGCACAAGAATGAGTGGTAGTACAGATGATCAAAAAGCCAGGCTTCCATAGAGGGGAACAACTACAGGGAGATAGTAACTGAGGGGAACTATGACAGTGTCCCTGCATGTTAAGTATCATAAAGTGAAGAGAGAACATGTAGGTGGCAGATCCAATAGAACAATATTTATTCAGGGTAGACATAGTTGAACACTAGCATTTCTTAATACAGGACATTACAGATGATACTCAGATTCTAAAGAAACCAGCTAAATTAATACAATAAACACATGTCAAGGCCTTTTAACTACAAGGACATCGTATCTCTGACTCAAGAGGTCCCTCAACTGCAAACCCCTGATGATTAAAAGCTTATCTCTACTTACACATTTTATACTGTTCTTAGGGGTCAACTGTTGACTCAGCAGAGTCAACTTTTTTGTTAGGCACCCAGGTGTAGAACATAAGGCATCTAGGAATATCAGATGCTTTTATAATTAGCTGCCTACTCACCAGGGATTTTCTAAAGTGCTCAAGTCCAAAAGACTTTCCTCTCATTCACATAATGGACTGGGAAACCTGTTTCGTTATTAAGAATCTCACTCACTTGAACTATATAGCTTTTTTTCTTTTTTTGAGACAAAGTACTCACTTTTATTCAAGTCTTAAGCCTGCTACCTTCTCGAGCATAGTACTCAGCTGAACTAACATGGCATTATAGATATGGAATACTGAAGAAAAACATTTTCATGTGCTTACAACTGCTGCTACAAAACAAATTAAGTAAGTAGCAAGCAGACAAAACCCATGAAGAGCTAAGGGTTTTGATCCAAGTTCAACTCCTAGGTATTTTCCACAAGAATAACTAGCTAAGGGAGTTAAAAGACAGATCTCTCTGTAGTTCACCTACCAATGAATCTGTACATTCCTTCCTTTACTCTGCTGAAATGTTTGCCTATCCCTGCATGCCCTTCCTTCACTACACAAAAAGTCTCAGTGAAGTGGCTACTAAAAGAGACCTCTCAAAAATGCAGACTCCTTGCATCAACACACTGCTGTTGATCTTCCAAGGCAGTACCTCCCTGAAGGAGATGTGACAAAATACCTACAATGCTCTGAAGATTCCATAATATAGTCTCTTGTTCACTCACAGCTCATGACCATCTGACAATGCTTGAGGTTTGTGTACATGAGGAAAGTAGCACTCAGTAAACTGGAACGCACAAATGCACCTATCTTCAACTGGCACACAAAAAACAAATTGGCATTTTTGGATACAGGAAGCCAGCAGACAAAGTGGCTTTCTTCGGGAAAAAAACAGAAAATGAACACCACCAATGCAAGAAAACTAACCAAATTTGGTTGTATCAAAGCAAACCTGTGAAGCTGCTTCTAGGGTAGATCCACCAAAAGGCCACAGGAAAAAGATGCAGACAAAATATTGTAATCAAGTAAGTCAAGGTGCACTTCCACTTCAACTTTTCTATGCCAATTATGTGGATACAGTTAACTGACAGTAAATAAATTTGGAAAAAGATTGCTTGACTTTATACCCAGGTGACATTACTTTTTCTGAATTCACAAACATAGGTATTTTGAGTGTAATGAGTTAGACTGCATCAATACATATTGCCCCACTATTCCTACATTAATCAATTAGGATTATTTGGACAAGGCTTTAGTATCTCTTATGGACCGTGATGAAGATTAACACTCAGCAAAGGTACTTCAGATCACTTCACTTTCAGTGAAGTCAGAAAATGCTCTGAATTACTCCTTCACCTGTATCCCCTGAGCCATATCCATAAAGTGAAATTAGAGTCTAAAATATGATCCTCTAAGAAATTAGTACCAAAAGCAGATGGCACAAACCCATGTTTTGGACAAAATCATCAATCTCATGCAAGTTCAAAATTGCGCCTTCCATTTTCTAGCTATATCCTCTAAAGCTTTTTGTTATGTAAGAAATGAAATATTTCTGCAAGTAAAAGCAAAGTATCTAGACTTCCAACACCCTAAACCCCAAGAAATATACAGAAACCTACTTTCAGATATCAAAATGTGAGTTAGATTAAAAAATACAAGTATGAATCCACAGATAAATTTTAGTTTTGAAAAAGCTGTATTATTTCATCTTAAAAAAGAAAAATTAAAATAAAAAATAAGGAAAAAGCAAGCTTACTTCTTCTTCATCAGGTTCAGCTTCTTCTGTTTCAACAGCTGACATACTAGCAACAGGCTTGTTCCATGCCAACTTTAGCTCTTGTCCTTTGAAACGAGATCCATGAATTGCAGCCTAAAACAAGTTTAACTATCTTAGTTACACATGACTACAAAAGAAAGTCTAAGTTGCAATATGTTCATACTGAAGTACTGTTACTAGGTTAAATGAAACAACTTGATTCACTGCACATGCAATTCATACATCCTTTGAGGAAAATGATGAAAATACATTCAGAAGAAAATAAGCTTGGAAAACCATAAATTATTTCGTAATGTGGGTAACATAAAAACCAGGAAGGTGTTGGTTCAGTAAGTATTATTTTGCTGGGTCCCCCACCTTTCAAAGACAGACACAAAACTGTTAATGCATAACTTATTGGAAGAAGTAAGACATCCCTACAAATGATTTAACATATTTTTAAAAACCCAACAACCAAACAACTGAAAAAAGCCCCTCTGTGATTACAATTTAATCTACTGGAAAACGTTCCACTTCCTGTAAAGCTGTTGTAACTGAAATGTAAAAATTTTTAACTTATGGGATATTCATGTCTTTCTAAGTACCAGCTGCATTAAGTGTCTGCTTTAGAAATAGTATGTTCAAATTAAAGTAACATGAATGAGCATAAATCAGCGTTAGCAACATTCCGAAATAACCGTCATGGTCACAAAAGATTTATAGTACAATCTGAAAGTACAGCATAATGTGAAATGTAGAAACAATTACATGTTCAATGACATCTGAACATGAATTGTGTGATATTAAAGTCCCCAGGTATAAATTTTAAATCTGTACATATAAATTTATGATAAATTTAAAAGATTCTATGCTTATTAAAATGCAGCCCAGGAGCTTTTTGTCCATGGTCTCATCACAATGTCACACAACTAGAATTTTTAAAAGTACTTATAAGTGACATTTAGGTCCAAAAATAACTTGCAATCTTTGGAAGAAATTACTACTACATAAAAATGCAACGTTTTACAACAGGGAATCTTCCTCTTCCTTCTAGGCTAGAACATACATGATCATAAAGTCTAGGTCTATTTTCATTTAAGAAGGTATAATATTAGGTGCATTTACTTCACAATTTGCCTCAGCAGATGTTTTTAATGATTACCTTCTACAACTTCCCAAAGTACCAGCCTTAATGCTTTAGTTGTAAACACAGACATTACAATGGAAATACACTGAATATGTAAGAAAATCTTAAAGAAAATACAAATTTTCCTAGATTTGATTGAATCCAGTTTTCATAAAATCTTCCTTTAAAAAAGAAGGTAAAAGTAGGCACAAAGTCTAATCAAACACAAAGTTGACAGTTAAATGTTTTAATGCTCACTAAAACATGGACATCTCAAACACTGATCATGAATCCTGATCCTGATCCTTGCACTGAGTCATACTTCATCTGGGAGAAATAAAGACATTATTTGGATAGTCCACAAAAACAGATTATTGTTCTAGGTGACCTATTTTTATTTGCAGGGAAGCAGAACTTTCCCTCCACACTTAAGAGTATTTCTTATGTAAACTACAGTATCAAAGAATAGGAAACTGCACAAGGAAGTACCCAATACCAGGAAGCACCAGAACTAAAATCCCAAGTTTAATTCAATTCATTTAAGAATATACTAATTACAGTAGCTTTTATCTTTGAACAGAACTTTTGTTCACTGTTGAACTGTGTTCCTTCAATACAGCTGTACAATACTAGCTTTCCTCTATCAGTCAGTATCCACCATGTACCATTAATTGTACCTCCTTTTTTATATAAATACTATCTCCATACAGTTAGTGCTCATCATTCCTATAGCTAAGAATTTCACAAAAAAAATTAACTCTGTGTTTTTCTAAAACATCTTTGGCACATGGATATCAAAATATCTCACCATAAATGATACTCTGAGCGTTCAAAGCTATTGTCCCCAGTGGTTAATGTGCATTGTAAATAGCAGTTTTTTCTGTCAATCACCTCACTGGTGTCTCAAGATGAAAAGAGAACAGTCTGGCCAGGTATAAAAACTGTGTTCAGGTAAACTCCACAAGATAAAATTTGTACAAAATATAAACATAAACTGAAATCTTTTCATACAGCAATACTGCAAATATGAATCCACTCTTGCTGTAGTCACTACTATTTTCAGGATTATTCCATCCCAACAGTGACACAAGGATTGTGAAGGAAAACAAGCTTTTGTAGAACAAGTATGTTCATTAATTTGTTCAGGATCACATAATATACCTATATTATATGCCTACACCATGGACCAAGTAACGCAGGAGTCCCGCTGAGCCAAATGTATAAAGTTCTAATGGTCCAAATGTAATGATAGCAAATTATAATCTAAGTCAACTCTAGATTTTAGTTTCTAGAAGTTACTTCTGCAACCCTATGGTTCTGTAATTCCACAAATTTCTAAAAATATGCTAAAAGGGGGGAAAAATATCAGATCAAATCCCATTTACAGCACCAGAGGTTTTTAGACAAAGGTAAACCAAACTGATCCCCAAATAAATATATAGGTTGACTCTGCAGGATGTCAGTGAAAATGACAGGTAGACTATGAGGGTACTAAGTCTTCAGGTGAAAAAACCTGGCAATTAAATGAAGATAAACCAAGACTATTTATATTTATATCTAAATATAAATTCCTAAGTGTTTCTCTTAATTTCCCTCTTACATCCTGCACCTCGCTTTGCTATAAACTTAATTTCTTAAGTATTTCAGTGCCATACAGTTCTGACATTTGTGTTTAATTTACACTTTTGTGTCAATAGTTTTAAAATAGTTAACAGCATTGCATTTAATCAAATACAGAAGTGTAACATAAACAGAAAGTATCTGAATGCTGCAGTGTATTATCAAGAAAGACTATACTCACAGCTTCAGCTTCTGCTCTTGTTTTAAAAGTAATCACCGCATGGAGAGAAGAGTCATCTATCTGGCAATCTTCAATTTCACCATATTGCTTTTGATAAATAAACAACAAAAAAAAAGTTTAGTAAAATAGTTCTCCCACCCCTAAAAATGCAGTCCTAAATAAAATGTCATTAAAAAAAAGTAGAAAACTGGAACAGTTTACACTGGAACAAGTGTATACTTCAGTCTAAATGCCAGAGTACTAGTCCTAGACAAGAATACAGTTACTCGTACTTGCACTTCTAAACCATCAAAGTGCTCTTGCCTCTGGATTTCCCAATTCCTATAGGTATGAGGTAAAAATATTATAGAAACAGGCCGCTCTGCTTCGCTATTTCTCTTCTGATTAGAAAGATGGGATCTTGAAATGATTACATTAATCTATTATGAAATTATTCCACAGAAATATTTCTACAGGAACTGCAGAAAAAGTTTGAAAACTTTACTGTATTTCAGCCTCTTAATAAAATGACTTAGCTATTAATGATCACAATGGTACTGCTAACTTTGATACTGCCATCACTGTAAGCTGCAAAGACCAACAAAAAAACACATCTGTGCAAGTGGACTGCACTGCTGACGTGCAGAGGATTGTGGTATCACACCACAAAACCAGCAATACAGCTCAGAGCATTTCCAATGGAATTTGAAGGAAGTTTAAAACATCAAACTTGCAATCTGCAAAATTGAATAATTAATTTTTTTTCTCAGTTATCCTACTAACACTGTGAATGGATTTGTCTTTGTTCATGTTACTAAGATTCTTTCTGATTGATATTTTTGCTTGTTAAAGATAGTAGGGTTCCTATAAAAAGAGAGACAGGTCCTTGTTTGATTTTTGTTTCAAAGCTTCTTTGCATGACTCCCTGACAAGAAATATTAAGTACACTGACTGGAGTAGAATTTAGGGACTAACTGGATCGTAGACTTCTCCCTTCAGAAAGGACCACTGCAATTGAATGCTGGGGGAAAACCCGCAAACAAATAAAGAGGGTTGCACAGATGGAGATTCACATGATCTTCTTAGCATTTATTCCACAAAATAAACAAATTTGCTTTTGTTGTACTCTTTTTTTCAATTGGAGGATAAGTGGTTTTATAAATTTATGTTGAGTTTTCACTATTACATTTGCAAACAAAAATTTGCTAAAAAATTATGTATGCCAATTTATCATTTTTTAGACTGAAAATAGAAAAAAAAAGTAGGAAAATATCTGACTTTTAAGCTCAAGTATATGATCAGACAGAAATGTTTGGATGCCTTTTCAAGACGTACACAATTTTTACTCTAACTCTTAAACTCAGAAATTTGGGCAAAAGCATGGAAAATGTTTGAAGAAAATTTCCATTAAGGACCTGTTAAGGTACTTCAAAAAGACAGACTGACGTCAGGTACTGAAAGTTTGGCAACAAATCTTTGTTCTCACCATCCCTTCAATTATTTTATCTTTTTGTACCTAAAAAAATGTAAAAAATTAACATTTGTAAAAAAATGTAAATAAATATTACAAGCCATTTGTCTTTGTAAGAAAAAAAAAGCCTTGTAAACGCTAAGTGATTAGAGCTATAACTAGTTGAAGCAATCGTGTATTTTTCCTGTTTTACCTTTTCCTACTGCTTCCTCCGCATATCATGCTAAAGATTCATTCCTAGACAATATTTCCAGACGAACTGAATCAGGTGAAAATAAGTGATTCAATGGAAAGACGTTACCCAAAGGAGAAAGAAAAGAGCGCAAATGTGACATACCGCAAAATGCGGCAGAAGATCTTCCCGGTCGCTCTCGGTGAAGGCGGAGATCTCCAGCGCCCGGGGCCGATGATCCACCACGGCGTGCACAGGAACCCCCCGGCCCCTGCCGCGGCCCCGGATCCCTCTGCCTCTGCTGCGCGCCGCGCCCCGGCCTCTGGCGTGAACCCCTCTGCCGCGCACTGAGGAGAGAATGCCCCGCTTGGCAGCCTGCGGTGGGCACACGTAACAGATTGACGGGTTAAAATTCACAGTCTGCATGTTTAGATAGAATTAACAAACACATACACTGATGTTTCCCAAAAACACATCCCTAAGAAAGCCCCAGAAAGAACAGTTTGCGGGTCTTAAAATAACAGAAGGTGAACATTTAAGTAACATTCAAAAGCTAATTATCTAAGGGTCAATTATTACCAGACCAATAATAGGATGGAAATAGGAAACAAGAACCAGGTATCAAAAGAGCCCTTATCTGTGAAGATTAATTCCTCATAGGAAAAAAACAACTGCTGCATAACTGAAATTTCATTATCAAAATCTCTTGTTATGGTGTCTAGCTACTTAATTAGTGTCTTTACTTTATGCATTTGTCTCTGAAGTTTAGGCAAGACCTTTATTCTGACCAGAATTATTGCCGCTTAAGAGCTTTTGGCCACAGGACTGTGAGATGCAAAACAAAGGCTTCTAAAGGGGCACCTCCAAGGACAAAGTATTCAATGAACACTTGGCTCTAGGTACTCAAAAATTTCCATTTCCACAGTACCTGTGTACCCCTTCTAAAGAACTAGCATATGCTCTTCAAGAACTATCAAAAGGCCAATGACAGGGACAGTCATTTTAAAAAATAATTTCAAAAAGTTACATTAAGCTTTGAAAGACCACTTTCAGGTATCTAATTTCAATGTTTACAGCAAGAAAATACACCTTTTTGAACCCAAATACATCTGCCATAGGAATAAAATGTTATATGAAATCACCACACTCTTAATAAATCCTACAGTGTTTACAAACTCAAGCCGTGATGGCACTACTTTAATCCATGTCAGTGATGCCACCCATGAAGAGATAATTTTCTTATGGCTTTATTCATTAAATTATTCAGATAATTTTACAATAGTATCTAGTTTGCTTTTTAGTTTTTTATAAACATAATCCTGAGGCACTTGGGTTTTCTTAGTTTTGTTCTGTGTTTGGAGTTTTTTAAGCATTTTAAAATGTTTAAGTAATTCAGGGCATGCTGACTCAACAAACAAGCTGTAAACTACTTGGATTTTCTTTCAGTAAAGTCAGGGTCACCTGGAACAGAAAAACAGGTTATGAGTCAAAGAAACAACACATTAAATGTTGTGGGAGTCAAAGCCACGAGCATAATGTGTAAATAAAAGTTTTTAGAAGAATTTTTAAGAATACTTAAAAATCAAACAAACATAAAGGGGGAAAAACCCCATATGCCTCTTGTAATCTGGGCAAGGGATATATTTCATGCTGTTCCCTGAAACATAAGTGTGCATTACTGATGAGCCTGTTTTTCTCCATCTACTTCTGTTGGTATTTGCTAAAGGCTTCAGAAAATTCATTTAAATATTACTGTCCTGAAAGAGCTCTTTTTTACCTAACTCAAACTACAAACAGACTTAGAGATAGCGTAAGATTAGTGCACTCAGCTATGATGTAACTTTATCTTAAACGTGCACCTACTTTTCCTAATTTACATGTCATTCAACTCACTTGTTGTATGAGATGCAGAATTTATAAACAAGCTTTCAGTACACTTATACAGCATTACTCACATAAGCTTTTGTACCATCTCTATTCAATTGGCTTGAGTTATTAGCAAAACTATTTTCACAATTACCAAAGCTGCATAACAACTTAGTTTTAAAGGATTTAAAGCAGCTTGGCCACACATATGTGCATTGTATTCATGTGCAGTAATACACAAACTTCATTAAGACAAGAGCGTTTTAAGTGACACAGCAGCCCTGCTTAACAGCAAAAAGAAATAAGATTATCAAGTGATTCAAGTAGATATTGCAAGAAAGTGCAATGTAACTATAAATACCACACACAGTATTTACAGTGTCTCAAAACTAGACACACATATAGAGAATTTTGTATAGCCATCTCAATTTTTTTTCAAATTAAATACTTGAAGAAAAATTTGTGTTTTTACACAATGAATACTTCTTCAAACACTGTATTTGCTTCTGTTAAGTTCTCCTCTTGAAACCAACACTGTAATAATATTATTTTTGGCATCTCAGGCTTTTTGATTAATCTCATTAAAAGGATGCTAACACTTAGGAACAAAAGATTAGGCAGTATTTCTTAACTTGTCTGGGTTAAACACAAAACGACCTTCAGGCAACAATTTAAAAACACTACACATTCTCAAGAAAGCATTAATACCCACAAATCTATAAAATATCATGTCATCTAAATAGTTACAGAATTTAAACAGATTAGCAATTGCAATTAGAGACAATACTATTTCTCAATTCCACTGCAATAGAGAAAGTGTGTTTTTAAAACATTATTGCTGAATGTCTCCATCTACATCCAACTTAATAGTGCACTCTGGATAAAATAGTTCATGATACAATATGCAAGCTAATAAACATAAAGGAAAATATTTGATTAGAACTTAATTGCTACAAAAGAAACACAAACATACTTCCAGCTGCAGCTCTGTATATTTTCGTCTTAATTCAGTAACTTCCTCCCCAGCTTGCATCTTCTTGTATAAATCCAGTTCAGTATCTAGTAATTCCTTCTGCATCTAAGAAATTGTTATGGTGAATTATTAGTTCCACAGTTCACATTCTGTACTAAGGAAACAATTGTTAAGTAAAAAGCTGTAACTTTGCAGGTATACTGCTCATTACACTGGGTTTCCACCTCCAAAAACAAACAAAGCACAAGCTTAGGAGCCTTCATGGCAAGGTGAAACTTTATCTGAGCTTTGTGATGTCAAACCTTTTAGACTACCAAGCAAAGCCAAAGCTAATGGAATTTTTTCCAAAGACACATACAATAAAAATTCAAGATGTTATGGTGATGAGATGAACTAAAACAAGCCGAGGGAAAAGTACTTCTCACAGGTAAAATCTAAATATGGGCACCCAGATCAAAAGAAAATTGAGCAGTATAATCTTCAATCTTAAAAGATTACCATATTAACAAATTTCTGTAACACAAAGAGTCATAGGAAATTACATACCAGTACAGTTTGTTTTGTGTATAAAGCCTGACCAGAAGATATTTGTGCTGCCTAACTATACTATGATCCTTTGATAAGAAGGCAAAATAAATCTCACTTCAAAGAGAACTTAAAAACTAAGCCAGTTTGTGTTTTAAAAACTGCTGATGAGACTATTTATTTTTATTCTTCTGAAACAAACATGTGAATTGATCTATTAAAAAGCTGACCAAAACTTGAGTACCTGAGTTTTAGTTTTCATGCTTTTCAAAGGAGGCCCTCCTCCTAGTGATACACCTTTTAATTCATCCTTTAACTTGGTAATGCTATTAGTCAAAATTTCCAGTGTTTTCATGATTTCTGCCTTGTCTTCTGACTTCATGGCTTTATTCTTCTCCAGCTTTGAAATCAGCATCTGTCCAGTTCAGAAAAAGAAAAGTCTTTTTACTCAGCAACTACTAATACAGACCTGTTTTCCAGTGGTCATTATAACTAATGGAAAAAACAAATACTGCATTTCTTTTGCTTTGACCTACAAATCAACACACAAAACTTTTAACAGTTTGTATAAATGGAAATCTTTGTTTGAATCTCTGATTCATCTCCAAATAAACATCTGATATTTCCAATTCACTTGGACAGATTTGCTTAACTTAACACTTGAATTATTTTAAAGTTTTATTCAACTTAAAAGACACTCTGGCTTTTTTTCTCTTCCTAAACCTAAGTGCAGTCATGCATCATTTTCTACGTCATTCTCTCCTGCTCTTGACAAACGGAACTTAGGCTTTCCCTTCTCCCAAACATTACATGTCACTCCCAAATTAGGCAATATCAATTAAATTTGACATAAATTGAATGAGCTTGTAGGGTTTTATTTAAGTGAACTAATAGGACAAGTTAAGTTAAAACTATAAACTTGAAATAGTATGATAATGCCATTCAAAGAGAATGCTTATTTTATAGACTTTTTTTTTTGTTCATTCTTACAAATTCTGAAATATTTTAAACTGAACTGAGATTTTGTAACTGAATTGGTGACTATCTTTAATACCAGTATTTTACCTTCTGTGTTTCAATGTGCTTCTCCAAGATTTCTTGCTTCTTTTTCCTCACATCTTGTTGAAGTCGCAGTGCTTCCTAGAAGCATAAAAAGATTACAGAAAGTTTCTAGACTTTGAAGCATTAATGCCAGAATAATATACTATGCCTGACAACTACACAGTAGTAACTTACAATAACGGGAAAAAATAGTAACAGAAAATGCAAGGTACTGATACTTCCAACTATGTTTTAGAATATAACACATTACCAAATTAAAGAAAGATCTAATTATCTTTTTTAGTTAGATCTGTGCTGGGAAGACTTTTATTATTGCTCACATATAAAGTAACACCTTACACAACTCCACTGAAAGCTGAAAGGCAACATATTACACTACCTCAAGAGGTACAGCATGCAAGTTTTAAATACGTGAGCACAATTATTTTGAAAGCAATTGTAAATCAAGCCCATCAATTAAAACACAGTCTCCAGAACTTTTACAAGTAAAAAACCCCTTTTTTTTTCCCCTAAACTTTAAGTGTCACCCAAAGAAAAGTACCTCTTGTGTATGAGCACTCTAACTGGGAATGAACAGTACAGCTACTCCATCTGCCAACCACAGAACCTTGAGCAGGCAATGGGCAAATCAAAATGAACTGAAACTCATCAGTAAGTGACAACACTGCACTCCAAATGAGAAGCAGGATGAGACGACACCCCTGCTGTGCTCAGAGCCTACTAATGGTGCTTGTAAGAAAGCTGTTGCTTCTTGTTCTCACATACAAAAGCCTTAGACGGTAGAAAACCCTTAAGAGCTCTGATATCAACATATTTCATGGAGTAGTAGAGGAGAGGCAGAAGATGATCAGCTGGGATCAATTGCAAGTGGAATATCTTATACAAGTATTGCAAATCCACAGCAGCCACAGAAAAAGAAATAGCAGTCAAATTTCTGTATGTCTTCCCAAATACTGACAAATTCTGCTGCATAAAATGTTAGTTTTTCAATACAGTGTGCAATCATTTTTCTGAAGGGAAAGGGAAGGTAAGATAATGGGATGAATGTGAAAAAAAGCTAGGGAGACAGGAGGAAAAGAAGGGAGTCAGTCCCACAAAATAATGTTTTTCCACAAGTATTGCTATATTGTAACAGAAATCTCTGAAGGCAGGAAGGAGCACAAGATCACATGAAAAAGGAGCCAATCACTTAGGCACAACTTCATTGTCTTCTCTCAAAAAACCCTCTACAACTGTTATGATGAGTCAACAAATTTATTACAAGTTTTTTGTCATTTTACAGGCCTTTAGCATCTTAACTTGAAAGGTAAAGGCTCTAATTCTAAAAACATGTGTTAGGGGACAAACATTAAATGAAATCTCAAATCAGAACTGCTTTCTATAAATTCTGGACCAGTGGCAAAATTCATGTGCAGCAACAAACTGCTAGTTCAAATGACATTAGACATAAATTACAGAAATTTAGTGGTACTTGACCAAAATCTTTAACAATTATACTGATTTCAACGCTTACATTTGGATGTAACCTTAGTACTGTAATTCGTAATTTGTGGTTAAAAAACAGTAAGGCAAACAATGTCCTGTATTCAGTTTCTCTAAATGATAAGAATAAACCTGAAGAAGGAGCTTTGCTGTGCTCTCCTGAAAATTATAAGCAAGCTAAACTATAACTGACTTATTGAGTCCAAATACATTTTTATTGCATTTCTCTTCTAACATATGCAAAAAAGAGAAAGCCTAGCACTACGTAAAAATGAAAGTGGGTGCAAAAGAACTAGAGCTTAGAAACAACAAAATGCAATCATAAAATTCTCAGTTCTCTTGAAGAAACCATTTTGGTCACACGTACAAAATGCACTGAGAATAGAGGCCAGTTCCAGAATAGTTTAAGAGAGAAGACCAGTGACTAAACTATACTCCCTTTCACTCACAACAGACAATTCATACCTCAACGTGTAGATTCTGATTCCAGGAAAAAGTGTTTCACATTTTGAATTTCTACAGTTTTAAACCTGCTTACACTGCCTGAACATACACTGAAAAATAACAAAATAAATGCTGAATTTTCTTGTAATATGTGGGGGGGAAAAAAAACATTATAGTGAATTCAATCTTGCAACAAGTTTCACCTACGTTCTTGTGATGAATATACATAGTGCTTTATCTCTAGGCCACAAGTTCCCAACCTAGGTCCATTTTAAAAAGAAGCATATTTAATTTACCTGTTTTTTCTTCTGTGCTTCATTAGAGTCTAGCACGGAAGTGGAAACAACAGGCAAAGATTTCTGTGCTGCCTTCAAAGCAGCAGGGTTGTACACAGTTTTTGTCAAGCCAGTAGAAGTAGATAAAACCTATAGGAGGAAATCATTTTATTTTTTTGCCAGTGAATTTAAATCTTTAAAAAACCCGCATGAGTGCTTAAAATATATAAGCGTATTTTCTTTTGTCTCCTTTGATGATACGGAATCTAAAAATTTGGTGTAGCTATTATATTTGGAGTTGTTGAAGTTAAACAATTTCTGAAGAGGCAGCACTACATCAGGTATGTAAGCTATTAACATCAGCTTATAAATCCTCTCCACAGAGATTTCGTATGCACTTCCAAGTTTCAAATACATAAATATTTATGTATTTGAGCATAACTAAGGAAACAGAAGATTGAGATTTTTGCAAGAGTAACTGTTGTTTTTGTGTTTTGAAGTCTAAAATACAGTATTTCATGGCTGCATGAACTTTCCAAGAAAAAGTTCAACATAATTTTAGAGACTAAGGTCCAACATAGAGACAACAGTTTCTTTTCATATGCAGTTGGTGCAAAGTAGAGCTTGCACAATCAGCAAGAAGTAACTCAAGAACAAGGAAGTCTTCAACATTATACAGCACAGGAAGAGACTCCTATGCCTCTCTGTTCTCTTTCCTACATTTGTAATGAGGTATGAAATTTCTTCATGACTTACTGAGAACACTGAGAACTGCTTTATTATCTCCCTAAAACATACTATGCACTTCTCCACAATATCTGAAGATTTGAACTGCTTTCTGAGCCTGTTCCTTAAAGAGTTTTTTTGGCATTCTACTATTGAAAAATACACAGCTAAGTCATTGAGATAATATAGGTATGATCTTGTCCACCTTGTTAGAAAATAGAAAAACTTCTGTAATCAGTATGGTTTCCAAGAGTTTAAAAATACTTTCTATCTATGTGGAAAATTAAAAGATGCATGCAGATTCTATTAGTCACCATGCACTCCATAAAATAGCAAAATGCCCACCAACAGGAAGGGGAGAAAAAAAGAGACAGGCAAGAAACAGAAAGGAAGAAAAGACCAAGAGCTCAGAAGAATTCACAACAGGAACAGTTCATATAAACCCTCTGCACTTCAGTGTGATATTATTTCTTCCCACAGTAAAGTGTTTTCAAGAGTACACAGTGCATAGAAAACAGCAGCAAAAAGAAAGCAACACATGTTATGAGTTACTATAGAAGGTGGTACAAAATGCTCTAAGCAGGCCATTACAAAGATGAAGGATTTTTTTTATAAATCTATTAAAGAACATTTAAGTATGCATATCTGAATCATACAGTTTCTATTACAAAGTAGCTTTAGGACAGGCTACAAGACAAACAAACAGAGGATCAAGCAAAGACAAAAATATTGACAATGTAACATTCCGCTCGGCCTGAACTGTCTTCAGGGCAGAGTGAACCACATCTCCTCGTCTCTTTTATGGAGGAGATGTAAGGAGAGAAGCCACAGCACCAACACAGACAAGTCAAAAGCAACACTAAGGTCTTCTAAATTGCTTAATGCTATTCAAAAGAAGCAATAGTGTGAATAGCGTGCATCTCTTCACAAGTCCACAAATTATAAGTCCCTATACAGATCCTACAAAATCTCACAATGACTGTTTCAGCACCTTTTCTTCCTGCTCTTTGGGAAGAACAGCCATCTCTCTTCTCATTGCAAAGTTCTTGTCAAACTGTGCTCTCCATCAGGAGAGCATCTACAACCATCATCTACAACATGACATCTCTATTTTTTGACAGATGTCAATCATTTTACTTCTAATCGTTATAGAATACAATGCCTGCAAACTAAGCAAGGTATTTCTTTGTAAAGAGGCAGTAGTAGGTAAAAATAAGTCAAATCAGGTTCTAGAATCCTACTAAAAATGTCAAAGGAAACTGCTGTTTCACAACACATCCAGTGAACAGCCACTCAGCAAAATCACATCTGTACTATAAGACAACAGAAGAGAAAAACATTCTAGCATAAAATTTACTCTTTGTAGAAAAGTGTTTCAGGATAACTCAATTCTTACACAATGAGGAAAAGTATTTCCATTCAAGCTGCAAGATGAAGCAGACTTCCTATTTCTAAAGTAAGCATGTACTATGTATGTAAAATGCAGATCAGGAATACTTTGCAAGGTATTTACCTGCAACTAATTTAGAGTACCAAGAGTGGAACTAATCAAACTAACAACAAAATACAGGCAAGAAGCCTTGATCCATGCACTTAGGGGGACTGCTCGGCTTGAAATGAATCAAAGACACATTCTCTAATATGACAACTAATATTATCAACTTCAAGTATTGTTGCCTTTCTATGTTAAGTATCACTCTATGTAAGTGAATTTTACCTGTTAGATGCCACTTAATCCATCAACTGCAATACTGAAAAGGGGTGGGAGGGGATGTGTGTGGGGAAATACAGTGGATGCTTCATTTATTTCAGGTCAAGCTAACTCCCAATAGAAAAGATAGATACCTACACAGAGGAATCCTGTTATGAGGCAAAACCTTCTGTGTTTCTACTACAAGTTTTCTCAAATCAATGTTAAGACCATTGGGGAAGCCTATCCCCTGAAGTGCTAAATAGATCTGGAAACACGCGTTACAAACTTTGCTACTATAGTAAACACTTCAACCACTTTGTATTCTGAAAATTGGAAACACTGGCCAAAATACACAGCTCATAACCACAATTCAGATGCACCTTTCCCCCCTTACCTTTGTCCTTTCTATACTGATTAATTTCCACCTTTATCTTTTCACAAGTACTGCAAATCGCAAAGCCAAATAAAACGGTAAATGTTTACAGCATCATCTTTTAAAGGTCACAGAAGACCAGAAACATTTTATAGAAGTGTGTTCTACAGAGTCATATGTAATGTCAAAAATTTATTTATTTTTTAATTTTTTTTTGTATATTTCTAAACAAGTCAGGATTATGAAACATATCCAATTCTTTGTATGACAGAATAAAAGGAACCTGATAGATTAAACAAAATCCACAAAATAGCGACTTCTGCCCTTCTTATAATCATTTAGCCATCTGCTGAGTTTTGACTCATTATACTTCCTAATACTAATCCTTCACAAATTGTTTTATTCATAGTTATGAAACAATATTGACACAAGGGGTTTGATAAAAAAAATAATTCTACTGAAAATAAATATGAGAGAATAGGAAACGTTTTCTTACCTTTTCAGTTGTTGGAGTAACTGGCTTTGACACAAAACCCAGTCTATCCTTCACAGATAATTTAGTCACATTCTAAGAAAACAAAGCATAATTATAGTTCAAATGTACACTACAAGCACTAGCAATTTAGAAAAAATATTTAATAAAATCATAGACTTTCAAGCAACAATAGAAGAAAAATATTCAAATAATTAATAAAATTCATTTTAGATATTTGATTTTTCAGTTAATATACATCTACAACTGGTAAGACAAATACAAAGCCAAATTTGGAATCAAAGATTATCCTACATATTTTTTGCAAGAAGTTCCAGACATGCTAGCTGGCAGAGGATAATCTGCACAGGCCCTTTTAAATACACTACAGCTCTTGTATTCTATAATCTGCTATTTGCAGATTACATCTGTATCAAATGCAGAAAGTTGTTTGAATTTAAATTACAAATGTGTTCTGATTTGTGCTGGTCTTCCTTTCCAGAGGTAAAACCAAAGAGCGGCATAATGCTAATAAGGAAATGTTGCAAATATAATAAAACATTGAAGACTATTTCTAATGGGAGTAACACACCAGATTCTGTCATTATTCACCCTGGTACTGTGGTTACATTCTCCCTTTTATTAGGGGAGAGGAACAAATTCTAAAAACTCTTCTAGATACAGAGCTTCATTCTCTAATGGTATTAGGTGTTTAACAGATAAAATACATATATAAAGAAAAAAATTAGCTTTTAGTTCTTTGGATAGAGATTCACTTTATTTTGAAATCTGACAGCAGCAATATAAGACAACAATCCTGAAACAGTCTGAAAGTCTTTCAGTTTTTCTTTTTAAACTATATAAAAAGCTACAATACTAAAAAATTAAGTACCAGGCTCAGGTAACAAAGCCAAATATCATTGCACTGAGGAAAACTTTAACAGGAAAACACCACTAACAATGTAAGAAAAAGCACTTTGAAGTAGTAAATGTGTACTTGCACCACAGAAATAACTGGTACATTCCTACAGTACAGAACCTATTTCAGAAAGAACAGGCAACTGAATTCCTCCCTAGGATACAAACCTGAGCGACTTCTGCGTTGGCACCCTGTGCTTCTGCAGGTTCGATGTTGCTCGCAGGCACCGGGCCCAGCCGCTCCTTCACCGACTGCTTCACTACAGGCAAAGTGGGCTGCTGCACCAAGGGCTGGATCACCTGCAACACCACCCAGCCCCCAAAAGGCACAAGATTAACAACAGAAGGCTGCTACACGCGTCATTCAGTTAGTACACAATGAAATTACAATGGAATTTATGTTTACACTTCTTCCCTTCTACCATTCACCTGATGGGATAAACAAGCCCTTCATGAAATTTATTATGTTATACTAAATATCTGTGTAGTGTGAGTGGCAATAACATTCATTCTACACTTACAGAAGTTACCAAACAACTGATTTACTTCTATTAATTACATTTACTCAGCCTAACTTAAATTCTACCTGCTAGAACAAAATAAAACACAATAAAGAGGTCTTCTGATTCCTCTCATAACTCTTGCACCATCAACTGTTTAGTTATGAAAAAACAGAATACGAACTTGTATCACAAAGTCTCTCACTTTTTACAGTGATAGGTCACAGTTTTCATCTCCTCTCTGTTTAACTTGGACAAAATAGAAAAAAAAAACATATAGAAACATGCAGTCATGGGACTGAAGAATAAGAAAAGAGAGCAGATAATCTTTGAATCTACAATGGATATACCCTGACAGCTAACACCTTTCCTTTTTTTTACTTCGACAAAAACATTCAACGGTTAAGACCAAAAAATATGCTTCCAAGCAAGCTTATTGTCATATTTATAGCTCTCAGAAGGTCACCTAATCCATTTCTCTCCACTGCAGGGCAAAGTCAGTTATGCCATTACTGACAGTTTCTATCTATCTCATTCTTACAAATTTCACATGAAACAGGTCCTGTCACCTCTCTAGGCAGAAGTGCTTCAGTATGCTTTGGCACTAGAAAATGTTTTTTTAATATTTAACCTAAATCTCTTTGTGCTGCCTTTTAGGCCTACAACTTCCTGTTTTATCTGCCTCAGATGTGGAAAGCGTATTATTTTCGGCTTCTTGGCAGAAGCCTTTTATTTGATGATTTATTATAGTTGACTCCCACCATTTTTACCTAAGTACTTCCATCTCTCTGGAAATTCTACAGCAAAGAATTTCCAAAGTAATCCTGCTGATAAAATAGCAATGGTTAAGCAATTGTGCTGGATCAGATATTACTGAAGGGACAATTTAAAAGTCAACTGACTTTACACTTGGTGTCTGATAGACAAAACCTGGTTGGAAGTCATTACAATTACAGGTGAAATTAATTAACCCATAATTAATGTAACAGAAATCTTGACCAAAATATAAGTATTTATAGTATATGAAGAAGTAAAAAGTTTCCATACTATTCACAGATATGATACCAATTATTAATTTCAACAAAAAGAGAAGTAAATATTCATGCTCCTGAAATACTTACAAACAAAAAACACCTGTTTACTGACTCAACAATTTGTTAAATGTTATACCTTGGAGTAGAAGAACATAGAAGCATTGTACTTAAAACTTTATTTTCCTGTTAAAAGTTTTTCTTTTTACTGTGTGCCTTCTATTGCTGATAACAGACTTCAAAATGCAGTCTGCTGACATGTGCTAAATGGCTGTTCTGGGTGAGGCAGGAACATCTAACACTGTCCCCAGGACTAAGGGGAATTCATTCTCAAACCAGCAAAGTTAACTTGCTAAAGGTGGTGTGATTGGAAGCTGTTAGTTAACACTACTAAAAATTATGGGACTACTGCAAATAAGACCTACATAGATCGAATGCTTGTTTGGGAATATAGAGTTAATACTCCAATAATACTCTGAATAGCATAATCAGCAAATAAGCTGATAGCATAGTCCAAGCTATCCTTTGAGTAAGACAAATGTCTAACGGAATGCAAATGATGTACTCCACTGCCCTCTTCTGGCTGAGATGAAAATCAAACTTAGAAAATAAATACCCTTTTTGAGCAGCACTACTTTAGATATAGTATTAAAGATACTGATAAAATCTAAAGACAATAAGAGGGAAGACAGTGAGATAGATGTCATTAAAACCGAATTTCTGAAGATAAAAATCAGGGCATTTCTTACAAAGAAGGAGAGAAAGAAAACTGTTAAAATGCAGTACAGCAGGATTGCCATGGAAAATCAGGTCACTGATTCTAAATGATGATGACACGAACCATCAAGAGGAAGTAGGAATTCTCAACTCAGAGCAGCAATTGAAAGAATCCCCTAACTAAAGTCATTCACACATCAAATCAGCATATACAATTAAGCGACCATTTCTTCTACAGAGCCTGTCTCTTATTTTTGAAGTGCAGAATGTGTGCTCCACACTGATGGCAAATCCAATAGAGCAGGATACACAGATATTTTGAAGGACTTGTTACACCAGCCACTAACTGAGAAGACTCAACTCAATAATCCAGAGAGCCATGGCAAACCCAAGGTTCCTCTTCTGCTTGACTACAGCCACTGCTGTACTGCTGACAAGTCTGATTTGGCCTGACACAGATTACAAATCTACCCTTCACAACAGTAATTGCTGTTTTATTGTTTTTAATGTTGCCAATGCTGCTACGAACATGACAACTTCCAAATGTGTCTCTGCCATTCAATAAAAAAATGTAGATCAGAGTATTTCAGTTGTAAGGGACCTGCAACAATCATCTAGTCCAACTGTCTGGTCAGGGTTGACCAAAAGTTCAGGGTTGACTAGAAGTTAAAGCACATTGTTAACAGTACTGTCCAAATACCTCTTAAAAACAGTGACAGGCTTGGGGCCATCAGCCGCCCCTCTAGAAAACTGGTTTCATTGTCTGACCACTCTCTCAGCAAAGAAATGCTTCATGCCCACTCTGGACCTCTTGTGATACACCTCCAATCCATTCCCAGACATTCTATCCCTGGATATCACAGAGATCATCAACTACCTCCCTACTTAAAAACATCCCTGATCCCTTCCTAGAAAATCAGTCTCTGTAATGCAGTTCTTTTCCACTGTTGTTTGCAAGTCCTTAGATCTACGTGTGTATACACAGAGACACCTACATGTAAACCAAATTGTTCTGTTACTTTGTACAACAATACGCATGCTCAACAGGAAGGGAAAGGGAAAGACCAGAATCTAATGGAAGCAAATGGAGATCATCTTTCATGAAAAGAAATATAACTCTGCTGCCTTTCTTATGCTCACCAATAGAAATCAAAAAAGCCTATATTAATTAAAGCAAAACAGACGTTATTCAGCAGAGAGCTTCATCAAATCTTGCTTGACATGATAACAGAGTGGAATACACAGAAAGTCACAGAAGGGCTTTCCTTAAATACCTTCGGTCTCATCTTGCTAATCAACTGCTGAATGTTGTTTATCAGGTCAAAGAATTTACAACTGAAGAGTGACTTTGGAAATTAATTACATGAAGTAATCATTATTTCAAAAGGACTTCGTTTACTTGATATAAACAGTCTCTTAAAAATGTTTAGAAGATTCTTTTTTACATAATATGCTAAAACAGACTTAGATCCTCTACCTTCTGTGCAGTAGGCTGGATTTGCGGTGCGCTGCCTTCTCGATGCCAATAAACTTTAATAAAACGATTATTTAATACTGCTTCTGTACTTGATATAGCTTTCTTTGCTTCCTCATGGGTGGCAAACTGAATAAGGGCACCTTCTGGATCACCCTGATATGCAACCTAGGATTTAAAACAGAAGAACAAAACTTACCATACAGAGGATTCTCATTTGTGTCTAAATGATCATTAAATCATTAGCTTTTAGGCTTAGAAGCTCACAATTTGCACCCAAATCCCAATATGTGTCATTAGATACTTCCCATTCATGAGTCCGTTTCAAAGGCCTGGTGTCAAAATCAACCTCGAGTTTATGCTAATAAACTTTAAGAATAGTTTAAAAAACCTCAAACTAACAAAGTAAAGCAAAACCCCCAGTCAACCAGTAACAGTATTTCTGTTTGCAAATATGAGCAGTTGTTTGAAAGACAAAAGGAAACATCAGCAAAATAAAGAAAATTACTATGAAAAATGCAGGGGTCAGATAGTAAATGTCGTATCTAATATTAGAGCTAGACAGCAAAGTTCATTTTGATTTCCCTCCCTTGAGCATTAACACATCATTTTAGCTTCCAAAGCCAAGATTATACTCTGCAAGAAGAGCACAGCTTGCAATCTCCATATACATATCTGTCTCTCCATACACAGCCATGTTTTACTTGCCTTAATGAATAATATTGCCTGCTAATACACCATATTCTTAGGTAAACTACAGAAAAGCTTAAGAAATGTTTAATAGCAATTAAGAGAGATTTAAAATCCCTCCAGTGTTCAGACAGGCACAGAGTGTTTATTCTGTACTGTATCAGTATGCACAAAAATATTGCTGCACTTCTTCATTCCAGCCCTCAGTAGAAACAAGAAAGGGTTTAGAAAAATGCATGGTAGCACCTGAAACTTGTTGATAATGAAGCACAGTGAAAGGTCACACTGAGTAGCTCAGAAACTGGGTATGCAATACTGACATTACCCGTGTAGCCTGCAATATGTAACATCAGCCTAAGTCAGGCCCTAGTTCTTTCATTGCTTTCCTCTCTCTTCAATTGCTTATTGGGTGACTCCAATAAATCACAAAGTGATTTTAAGGGACAAACCGTCATTACCATGGAAAGCAATTATGTCACAGGGACTGCCTTCTGGATGAGAAATGCAGGTTTTCTGTATTTACAATTTATCTCTGAATATACAGAGTGTTTATGAGAGCATATCCAAACTTGATAAAATGTGTGAGAAAAACCCATGTGCAATCAATTTTCAATGTTTTAAACAATGTCTCTTAAAAGTCTTATCTCTGAGGAACACATTTGTTCAAAATCTAAAAGATGACTATAACATTTCATTTCTGCTTCTTGAATGGCAATATCATTAAAAACAATGAGATCTTGTTTAAGAAACAAGTTAGGAAAATAATTAGGAGTTTCAGGGAACCAGGAAAAAAAATGGCATTCTTCTTTCAGCAACTACCACTACCTTTACATCAAAACATATTGCTTTCTCTTTGTTGACTCTTACCTGCAAGTTGACTAAGTTTCCAAACTTACTGAAGTGCTCATTAAGTTTGCTGATGTTGTTAAGTTCTGGCGGAACTTTTCTCAATTCAAGTTTTGTATTTTCATTTCCAAACTGCACTTTCTTCTGGAAACCTGGACTATTTGTTCTGTTAAAATTTGGCCTGCAACAAATAAAAAATCAAGCCAGAAATCCATAGCAAACTAGCAAACACAATGTTAAATTGTATATGCTTACACAGAAGCATGTGTGTATGAGACACAAAGATCTGCAGACTTAAAAATAATGCAATTTTAGAAGAGTGAAGGAGAGTACAGGACACACACCCATACAACTGCTATCTTCCCCACTGATATTCTCAGCATACCTCAGCACATAAATCTGTGAAATAATTCATATTTATTTGCTCATGTCAGTGTAATTGCTGACTTTTACATTGCTTCTTTCCAAAAACTGCTTCTTAGCTATTCCATGAAACTTCCCCACTACTGTTTCAAATAACTATTACTTCAAGGCTTTCCTCACTCCCAGCAATCTCTTAAAATCCCTTCCAACCTTGCACCTTCTGGTTTTTTCTCAGTAACATACCTGGCAACTCAAATCAAATTAGCAGTGATAAAATTCACATTTCACAACTAAATCAGTCATCTAACAACCATCACACTGCAGCTTCCCTGTTTCTTATATCGTGCCAACTTTCAAGGAACAGATCTTAGTATCATCCAAAGAAACTTCATCTATCTGTATACTATCTTTGATAGGAAACAGTCAAATAAATACAGCTCACACTTTAGTATGACTTACTTTAGTACCATCAGTGTACTCAGTTTCACTTGCTTGCAATTTATATATATACATATATATATGTTTCAGATTACAGTAAAACAGTTAATGAAATTCCAGCTCTAAAGCCAACACTGTGTTAACAGTCACTCACTTGTCAAACCAAGTCTTCTTTGTAGGAACTCCACCATCCCCTGCACCAATTGTTCTTTTCCTGGATTCAGCATCTACCACTATTCTCATACTACTTTTATTAGGAGGTTTTTCTGTAAATAGATGAGAAGATTTTACATTTTTATAATTTATTTTCTGTGCATTTGATTGTAAAACAATATTCTGCTCACACTGAATTTGCACTGAAAAGCACAATTGTTTATTTTGAAATTACTATGATTATTGCTCTGACTGAATCAAACCTTGGTCACAGACTTCTTAACTATCAACAGATGTTGTGACAGATCAAAGTAGCTAATAGCACTCATTTTGTCACAGTTACATCACACATACAGAAAACAAAAGAGGTGTGACAGAAGGCATCTGCCTTGAGATGACTGTGCTCTGATTCACAATGATTCACAATGTCCCATGCAATACTCTGAGGCTCACACCACTCCAGCTAACACCTCCATTCTACTATTAGATGGCACACACAAAAATGGTCATGATAGGAAATGCACATTACTCCAGGGCAATAGCACCTAGGAGCAAGATTTATGGATGGACTGGGAAAGGAGTCACTTTTGCTGAAGAACAGGAATCACACTGGGGGACTCCTCACTGAAAATACACCAACAGAAACATAGTAAGATTAAATAGAAATACATACAAATGCAAATAAAAACCACATTAAAAATGGTTTTATCCCTTTTCCATTGTTATTTTGTGTGCTGCTGCTTCTTCTCAGGATCACAGGAACTGTGAGGTTAAGATTATTCGTGCATAAACTGCTGCTACCAGATAAAAATGACTCCCTCCTCTATAAGCAAAAAATCATCCTGAGATTCTACTACAGAAACATTAACATTTTTTCTGTTCAGAAGATACACAAAGTGACCAGTTACTACAGCTAGAGGTAAACTGCAATACTCTAGCAAGAGATTTCATTCTACCTGTAAAAATGCACATACAAAGCAATTACAGACATAGTTCCCTATTTAACTAAACATCTCTTAATTCCAGAAGACTTTAGGAAAATGCTGTATTTTGAAGTATTCTCTGCAAAGTTCCTCAACCTGCATTAATGTAAAAAAATCAGCTAAACTAAGTATAGCTTTGAGAGCATACCTCTGGGTGGTAGATCCATATCACCTGATGTGAGTCCTATCAAATTTGGTCTTTGGGCATGTACTCTATGTCTATACATAGGTCTTGAAGTATTTGTTATACTTGGAGCTTCTGGATTATAGCCATCTGTGTCATACGTTTCTGGTAACAAAGAAATTGTCTAATTAAAATAAATTGCAGTTAAAACTCTTAAGCTTTCAGATATAATATTTAATTTAATTACAATATAAAGTTACAATAAAAGAGTGGTATAACCACTATCATGAAAAACCATCATGCAAAGTCTTCTGCTTTAACACAATGAAAATATTACTCTCCAGTCAAAATTCACACTTTATATGCAAATTTTACTTTACGTCTTGAATTAAGTCTCAAAAGAAGAATGTTAATTTACTGTCACAATCTATACGATACAAACTTATTCTCCCAAACTATGACATTATAATCTCTATAAAGTACAGTATAATATGAATCAATGTTATTCTACTTAGCAAACCTTGTGGGCAAAGCCTCAGTACTACACCTGCTGTAAAAAGAGAGGGTGGAGCAGGAGGCGGCTGGTGATGAATACCCGTGGTAACAACGGTAGGAACTGAGCTGGTGGCTGAGTTTGGGGGGGCATCCATGCCAGCAGGCTGCAGTGGTGGAAGGGGAGGGGGTGGTCCTGTCAGAAACAAAGGAAAACGCTGCATTCATTTATTATCCACTACATGTTCATTACACTCCCCTTGTAAAGAAACTGATCTGAAATGCTTTTAAGGTTATTTAAGAAAAAAGAGGCTGAGAGGGCACATCTGTAGACTTGATGCTGTACCACAAATTCTCATGAAACCACCCCCAACAGCAAATGACTCACAACTTGGATTAGACAGAAAAGCATTTGAATCATTTAACATTTCTCCAAACACCTTCTTTCTACAAGTAAAATTTAATTGCTAGACCAGTATTCATCTTTACCAAATGAAGCATTTCAAAATGCTCAATAAAAGCTGATCAAAGAAACAAATTCTACTTTTGAAGTAAAAAAGGTTTTTTTAATATTACAAAAATATGCCATGATGACAATGACTAACTTGATTGAAATTATTTTTCCAAATACTCAAGAAGAAACCTTCAACTCTAAAGGAACTCTTATTAAAATTGAGGGAGCTTTTTTGTTTGGTTGGTTTGACTTTTTTTAAAACAGGTAATGTGAATCCTTCGAAGCTGAGCAGTCAAGCCTGATGTTCAGTTTAATCACTGACAAGAGTAGGTTTTGGGAAAAGTTATAAAGTGATATATCTGAATTTGTGAACCAGATCTGAAAATAGCATGTAAGGCAGAACTGCCCAAACCAGAGGAAGTTACATTCTATATTAACTGAAATAAATACATTCATTCATATATTTCTTAAATATACTATCAACAGGAAATTAAAACAGTTTAAGAAACTTCTAAGCAAGATCAAATATCAATTACTCCTGAATAATTTTATGAAGTGGGACACACCCAAGTTAGGAAAAAAAGAGAGAAAGGAATAATCATATAAAACTAACATAACAGCTTTTAAACCACACAAGGCAACTGAGCACTAAACTTTAACTACTTTATAAATGACAGCCAGGCTCATAAATTTTCATGTAATTCTTAGTGCTTCAGCTGAAGTACTTCCCAGTGAAACAGTACAGAAAGCTGAGACTTTTTCTTAGTTAGTTTACAAGTTTAGTTTTAAAATTTATCTTAAATGGTATTTTCAGGTATAAATTTGATGTGGTCATGAATTATCTTTACTTCCATTACTGTGAATGAAACAGTAAGGATCAGTTGTTTCCAGGATTTTCATTTCTTTGACAGTAGTCAATTTTCGACAACTTCTCCTATAATACTCAAGGAACTGAATTTTGCCATGTCAGGCTTTTGCTTAAATACAATGAAAATATTATTCCATATTACAGGGTAGTCACATTTAGCATGCAGCATTTTACAATAACCAACTCTGCAACAATTATCATCAGACAGAATAATTTTCAGGTAAGCTATGCCATAGTAGAGCACAGTTCAACTGTACATAATACAGCTGGGATTCTTCAAAACAGCTTTTTGTACTGCATACAATTCAAGTGAGATCCAGGCTTTCTTAAAAAAAACCCCTGGGTTTAATCTTTTGTAATTACCTGTTACAGGTGGAAGGCTAGGTGGTAAGGGGCCTGGTGGTGGTACTGGGGGTCTAAGGTTAACAGGAGGAGGACTGAGAATTGGTGGAGGGGGAGGAAGTCCAGGAGGAGGTGGTCCTTCGACAACAGGGGGTTGTGCTGGAAAAGGCAGAATGCCAGGAAGATTCACATCTTCTACCACTACTGGATCACTTCCATGATCAAAAGGGCACATGTCTCCTCTCATACAGAAACCCTTCTCTGAAACATCAAAAAGAACTGACGTTAGTATTCAGCTGTGGCTCCATTCAGGGTAGATACAAGACATTCAATGTGTAATGCAGCAGTTTGTAAATTAAGAGCTCCACATACCAGCGGAAGCTTAGATTAGAAAATGAAATTGTTTAACTTTATTCTAAACACTCAGCACAAACAGACATTGCAGAAACTTGCTAGGACAAAAGTGTTTAATTTATTGTTAAAGAACTAATTCTGCACTGTATTGTAACAAATGGTGAAAGCAAAGAATGAACTCTAGATGTCATCACATTAACAAAATCAATTTGTTTCTAAGCAAAAAGTGCAGATGCTAGGATTGAGAAACCCCAATTAAAAGTTAGAAGTTAATATTATGGAATTCCAACATGAGCAAATTCACTCACTTTTTTCTTCTTTTGCAATTATTTCAGGAAACATAAACATTTGCCATAGTTTAATGTGGTTACATAAGAACAAAATTTGTAATTTACAAATAATATATGCATTTGTAAATATTAAATATATATAAATAAAAATGAATACACATTCACTTTTTTTTACATACAAGTCAAACATAGAATGAGGTCAGAGGAGGGCCACAAAAACTACCAAAAGCCTGAAGCACCTCTCTTATGAGGAAGGGCTGAGAGCTGGAGCTGTTCAGACTGGAGAAAAGAAGGCTCAGAGCAGTGAATTTAAGTACTCACTGCAGCCTTTATACTTCAAACTTTCTAGTGGGACATGAAGTGATAGGACCAGAGGTCACAGTTTTAAACTAAAAAATGGTAGATTCAAAGCAAATATAAGAAAAAGAAATTATTAAAATGAGGGTGGTTAAACAGTGGAAGAGGTTGCCCAGAAAAGCAGCGGATGCCCCATTCCTGGAAACATTCAAGGTCACACTGGAGTGAGCTCTGAGCAACAAGATCTCGTTGAAGATGACCTTGCCTACTGTAGGGATGCCAGACTAGATGACTTTAAAGGGCCTTTCTAGCCCAGACTCTTCTTTATTATCTGTTCAGCAACAGTGTCCACAGAAACAACACCAAAATACCAGTCAGTGCAATACAGGGAAAAGGCTGAAACACCTTCTGGTAAATAGGAAGAAAAGCTCACTTCCTCAAAACATGATGCGGGGAAGCAGTATGTATGTATTACCGCATCTTCAAGAAGAGTTATAGAGCACATTAAATTGAAATGTTGAACAAAACCAGAATTTCAGCAGTGTGTAAAGCTGAAAATTTGAAAGTGCAGATAGGAAGAACAGTATGATGGAAACATGGAGCCACTGAAGAGAGAAAACTTCAAAACAAAATGACACATTCACAATTCCACTTGCTCCATATTGCTGTGATGTACACTGGCAAAGCTATTCTTTGTCAGTACAACTCTGCCAACACTTGAAAGCTCAGTTTCCCATTTTTTTTTACTTAAAAAAAATTCTAATCAGAGTTCTGAATTTAAACTGGCCTAGAATTTAAACTCCTCACTGTGGTATGCACTAAAACAACAACAAAATCCATCAGAAAGAACTTTACAGGAAGATTTCAACTCTCCTGAGTTCACAGGTTGACGGGTTGAGTTTAGTTAAGGCACTGCCAGCTGCAGCAGCCTCTTGTGTGTATTTTGGCACAAGATATTTAAAATGAAAGCTTAAGACAGAGATAAGTGAAAACCTAGCCAGTTTTAAGAAACACCTACACAGAAAGAAATGAGCCTGGGAAGTTTCAGCTCTAGACCTTTCTAGTTAAAAATTGCCTGTTAGTTAGGATAGAATGAAATACGATGAGACCACTAAGGTGCCAACCATTGTCAAAACCAGCACACGCAGTATTTGATTAGAACATGACCTAGGACAGCAAACCTGGGTAAAAATGGATTTTTTTTAATCTACTTTTTTTAATTTATACAAAATAGTCTTAGCAAGTAAAAAATTAGACAAACACTAAAAGAGCAAGCTGTCTGAAGTAAGCAAGAAGTGGTAACATGGAAAAATTTGCAATCAAGAAGTGTGCAATAGAAAAACACCAGTATACTAGAGAAAATCAGAAAAAGGAGGGTGAATTACCTGAATCTTTTCATAAAGGGGACAATCATACCTGCAGGAAGCAATTAAAAAATTAAAATGCACTTACCATCATAATCTCTACAGCGTTTCTTTGGCAGCGGAGGTCTTCCATAGGAGTTGTGGTCCAGCTGCTCTTCATGGAACTCCGACCAACTTTCAGTAGTGTTATTTCCATGATGAGCAGGAGCAATAACAGTAATAGTACTGCTCAGTGTAGGGACAGGGTAGTGGCCAGATGAAATATTTGTCACAGAAGAAACTGGAGTATAATTGTTCTCTAATGGATCTGTTCTATCCATGTCATATTTTGGCTTTCCTAAATCCCTTTCTGTAACAAAAAATAAAAAAAATAAAAATTATACTCGATAATTCCTTATCCACCTTTTCAGCAGTAGCAGCCACTACTCTCTAAGTATCTTTACTCCACATCAACTCAATACATATCCACAATAATTGAAATGTTTTACAGGTTGCCCAAAGTGCCTGTTGAGTCTCCACCCTTGGAGTTATTTATAACCCAGTTGGTCCTAAGCCATCTGCTCCAGTTTATTTGTTTGGATAAACGGTGTTAGACTACATCACCTTCAGAGGTCTCCACCAACTTCAGCTATTCCATGATTCTACATTCCAAAGTTTTAATCAGAAAAATAATAATCTCTGAAGTACATAGTCAGTCCCTGGGCAATTTTAATAACAGATATATCCACAGTAGAGCAGATATTCTATTTAACTTCAGGCAGAGTACATTTTCTTTAGTGATGGATGTAAGAACTTCAGATGTAAAGTTATTTTGAATAAAGGGAAGCAATGGCAAGAAAAGGGTAACCACAGCTTGAAAATACTATAAAAGTTACAAATCTTTAATGTTTCCAGACAATGTTATTGTTGTGTCTTCATTTTGTTGATCTTCATTTTCTGCTGCACTCAAATGAATGTATTTATTGCATGCAAAGCTTTGTCTTAATAGGTGAAATAATAATGCTTGACAGGTGTGGAACACTCCTGGGCAGATACAGCAAGTAAAATAACCTTTCATTCTGAATACATACAAACTATTATCTTCATTTTCTAGTATTACCACCAAATAAAAAGTAAGTACCCCATTTAAGACAGACTAATTATGTCATGACATGAGTTAATAGACTTAAGTAACTCCACATTAAAGGAACATTATGAAATATCTTAAAGATGGCTCATTAGTGTGGTTAAAACCGGCTTTTCTTCATGTTCTAAGAAACAAAGCTTTCACTATAAAATATTGTCCATAAGGTACTGTCATTTCAGTTTCTGTAAATAATCTTTAAATTAAGATTTAATCCTGTTGTCATCTTTTAGTTAAACTGCTGCATGTCATTTAATTTTCTCGTTAGTAAGCTGTCTGGAAAATATCTGCTCTCATATTTTCCAGAAATCTGCATTTCTAGTTCTAAGGCTGAGTTACCAAGGCCTGTTTTACAGGGAAAAAAAAAATAACACCAAGGAGAGTTCTACCACAGTGTTTTTTACCCATACATTGTCAAAGGCAGGACAAAGATATAAAATTACTTTCACTTTTCAATTACTTTGGTCTTTTCCAATTTACCATTCAAAACAATTGAGGGAAAAAACACTCTTTTCAGCTGAAAAAGTAGTCCCCTTTTCAAAGAAGTTTAATTCTACAAACTACTGTACTGAAGCCTTAAGTCCTATGGATATGTGCACAAATGCAACTATTTATTGTAACAATTGCAGCCCTTCACCTACTACACTAAAGAGGGGACAAGACCAGAAGAACTGAGCTGTACTGTTCTGTTTGACAAGTCATTTACTGCCAAACGGGCAATTTCTCTGCTAGTTCCACCTTTATAAATCAATAATAGTTTCTCTATCTCCCTAAACCAGATTCCGAGTTTCCTATAACTTAATGAAATGGAAATAACTTGTATTTTTCTGCCTCTCGTGCAACAATGCCTAAAAGTGGCCAGCACAGCCACCTCAATACAAAGATATTAAAGAAGAACAGAGGGTAAGGGAGGCAAACAAGCACTGAGAACACAATCACAAAAGCCTCATTTCCACAGAAAACAAAGCTAAATCTGAATAAAGGAATAAGAACAACAGAGGAAATTCTAGTACATTTTGAACACAGTTTTCAAGTTTAGTTTCTAAATTTTGTAGAAAACATTCACCGTATTTTAGAGACCAACTGTTGGTACCTCTGCTTCGCGTTCTGCTCCGGCTTCTGCTCCGGTCTCGATCGCGGTCCCGCAACCTCTCTTTGCTCCAACTCCTACTTCGACTCCTGCTGTAGCTGCGACTCCTCCCTCTCCGCCTGTTGTATCGATCCCTGTAGGAATCTCTTCTGGGAGGATTTCGGTCATAATCTCTCTTCCGAGAACGTTCCTCTTTTTTCCTTTCATCACGGCTTCTAAACATGAAATATTAGAGGCTAATTACAAGACTTATGAAGCCATAATTTGAAATCTTAACTACTTAAAAACTTCAAGAAATGTCAGTGGAAAACTAGAGAAGAGCTACAAATTGTATGGAACTTATGGCTACTCCTTTCTTCTCAGAAGGATTTTAAAATTAATTTTGCTTATTTGTTTTATTTTTACCATACCTAAGATTTTAAAACATATAAAAATTTCTGTTTCTGCCCAGTACTGCATATTCCCCAAGTTGGAAGCACCAAGACTTATTGAAGGGAACGCTTCTAAATCAAAATTCAAACTCAATATCAAGCAGAACAAATACTGCAATATAAATTGCAAATCTAACACCAGAATTACTTCTTAAACTCCAAGGGTAATAGCTGTGCACAACTCAAGACACAGGTTACACTGACACACACTTGCCACTTTACTACATATGTGTAAAAGCAATAGAAGCCTTCTTTTCAGGCTTATTAGATGACAATACAGACACAAAGTATTTAATTCAGTAAAAATCTGATTACTGATATAATGCAAGGGGTTAAACAAAAATTTTTACCTGGTGTCTCTGTAGCGAGAACTTGACTGAGGAGGGCTGTGATTTAATCTTCTAGAGAACTTTTTCTCTCGCTCTTCCTCTTTAACGATCTGCATTCAAAGCATATATATTATATTAGATCAAAATATGAGTACACTAAAATGCAAACTTCTGCACAACCAAATAAAAACCAAAAACTCTGAACACTGAGCAATCAGCAGTAACACTGAAATTAAATATTTTAGTCTCTAACATAATAAGAGAATCTTCGTTACATGCTTATTTCTATTTCTAGGAATATCCAAATCTCTGTTTGAGATAAAATAAAATAAATCTTCATAGTGCTGCACTGAAAATACAGCTGCTTTTACTGCAGGTAGACAAAAAACCATATTAAGGCTTTGGGAAGATTTGAGAAAGCATGGATATTCAACAACCAGCACCAAAGTCTTTCTTTCATCAGCAGCTTATCTAGTTGAGTTCACACTTAAAACACTTTCACAGAGGCAAACCTGGGCTGCTATTGAAAAGCAAAAACTTCCTCTTCTGGCTCAATGAACAACATAAACACATGTGACAAAAGGATATTATCTGCATCCAGCAGCTGAAGGAATGAGAATTGCAATTTAGAATGGCAGCGAGAATTTATGGAGAATAAAGTGCAGCACAACTACAACAGCAATTTTGACCAGAGAACTAATGCAGGTTATACTGCAGCTCCTACACCACCAAATAATCTCATTTACCTTTGCCTCAGCAAAACCACGTTGGTTTACATTTGAAACACCCACTTGTATTAAAAAAATCGTGCAGCAGTGCACAGTGAGCCAAGAACAAATCTTCTGACTTATTTTAATGCTGTCATGTAATTATTAATAATATGATTAATAAACATAAATTATTACTGATATGAACCATAATAAATTGCTAATAACTATTACTAATAAACACTATGAAGTTGAACACATAAGCAAATTACATGAACGAGGAAAAAGATGTACATGTAAATAAATTAAAATCAATGCCCACCTCTTCCTTTTTTGTCTCCTTTTCTTGGTGCTGAAAAAATTCTACTTTCAGGCTTCCTGATGATGGCTGTTCTGGTGGAGGTAGGTAGCTTTTTGTATTCACAGCATCAAACAGTTTTTCCACAAATATCTGAGTTTCTAAAAGTAAGGAGTGTACAAATATCCATTATACAAAACCACGGTTAACATTTGCTTTAAAAATTAAAAAATAAATAAACACAAAAAACCCAGACAAGCAACCAAAACCTATATTCAGCAAAAAAGAGTATTTTCTTTAAATATTGTGTCCCTAAGTAATATTTAAAAGGACATTTACAAAATCAAAAAACATGTCAATAATGAAGTATGTTTCATGTAAGTTTTCAATTCTTCCATTATTTAATGTCTCTTAATAAAGCACCTGGGAAAATATTTCTGGCATATATATATATAGAGAGAGAGAGGTTCAGTACTTGCCCAGGAAGTTGTGGATGCCCCAGCCTGGAAGTATTCAAGACCAGGTCAGACCATGCCCTGATAAACCTGGTCTAGTGTGAGATGTCCCTGCCCAGGACAGGGGGCTGGAACTACAGGATCTTTATGGTCCCTTTCAATCCAAACCATTCTATGATTCTGGGCCTCTGTGAGTACTAACAAAACATATACCTAACATATGCATGCTAACCTATACACCTGGGCTTTTTAAAATTACTTCATGAAAACTGAATTACATTCTACCAAGTAACAAAGCTAATAAAGAGATCAAAGCCCAACTCTGTGGTAAACAATTGCTTGAATAAACTGAACAAGACAGAATTTTCACTCAATCTTAATTGTCATGACAAAGCCCATACCTTTCTGAAGAAATACATCCAGCTGATCAACACACAATGCCTTCAGTTCCTTTTCACTTTTGTCCTTCTTTACCAAAGCCAGAACATATTTAGCTAGGGCAGATGGATCTGCATCACATCTGCAAATAATTAGTTAGAAAAAAAAAAAAGCAAATTAATTACAGAAATTAGTGTCTGAAATTGGTATGACCTATACATACATAGGGCAAAATAATTTCCTACCAAAGCAATTGAAAAATACTCGGGTGTATTTTTCAAAACAGAGTCCAGATAGATAACAGTTCTAAGTATCACTTTTCCTTTCAAGAGAACAATTGCCTAGAATATTTCCTAACAATACTGCACAGAGAACATCAGAGCTAACTAGAACAAACTGTTTCATAAGAAACAGCTTCAACTGCCTAACTGTTTTGTATAAAAAACAAAGACAATGAATACTTTCCTAACTTCCCAAAGATGGAGGCAATACTTCTGAATGCAACACTGAGTAACTGTTATCTGGGAAAAGTCAGTCTATCCAATTACAAATTAATACAGTGATACAGTAGAAGTGATCTATGCTACAAAAAAAAAAAGGTCACACCCCTGAGTATTCTATTAAATACACTTTTGAACGTTCTTATTGCTACTTATATATGAACACCATGAAAACTGAAACGGATTTTTTCAGTTTCAAAAGCCTAAATTCATATATTGTAACAGACACTTCTATAAGAGGCACACTGAAAATGGAGAGAAATTTAGGGGATCATTATCCATTTCGCATCTGAATTCAGAATTCAACCTACAATTAAATACAGAGCACCTCGATGTAGAAGTTGATGGTCTTACGCATATCTACAAAGAACTTGAATGAAGAAAGCCATGTATCCACATTCAGTAGAACATTATTTAATATAAATGCCAGATTTTCTAGAATGTTTCACAAACAGCAATCTACAATGAACTTTGTGGCGGTGGTGTAAAGCCTGCCAAAGCAAGTGAGACTACTGCACAAAACCATTCATGTTTAAAAAGAGTAACTAATGAAATAGTGAGACATTGGTCTTAAACAACTTAATCTCCTTATTTAGCATATACCAAAGAAGACTTCAGGCCCCACAAAACAATGCAAGATTGAATGGATGCATACCGGTCATGTGATACAGACAACTCATTTGGGTGGTCATCAAAGTTTGTACTAATGTTTTAAAGAATAATAGTAAGAAAAAAAACTGCACTGATGCATCCTGACTGTACATGCTTTCTAGCAAAAATAACCAGTAAGAAAAATTAATCTATGGTCAGAATGAATATGAACATTACACAAATCCTGCTCTAGCATAGAGGTCCAATAGTCATCTAAAGGAATAAGAAGTTTGAAATCCCTTCCACAATGAGTAAAATATAAATATTGGAGCTTAATTATTAATCTAAATGTTGAACATTGAAATGATATTATTTTGGACACTGGCCAAAAGAACCCAAATCCCTAAGCAAACATATCACACAACCTAATTTCTCTCACCAGAGAAACTTATCTCCTGCACAGCAAGCAACATCCCCCATGCAAACACATCTGCTAAGCAAAGGAAGCCAATCTGTCAGCATTACTTATGGACAGCCTGGGCCCAGCACAAAGAACCCTGAAGTTAAAGGTCAGAGCTTCAAATGTAACCCAGCATCCTTTAGAAAGGAGGCAATACTAGAATTTCATGCTGAAAAAGCAACTTGGTCTGCTAGTGGATGTACCACTGTATTCCACGTTAGTCTGCATTATTTATAGATACAGGAAATGGGAGTTCATAATCATTGCAGAAGAACCCATGGACACTAAATGAACAAAATATATACTGCTAATCAAAAACCAGACTGCACACTGACTAGAAATTCTTCAGAAATTTTTCAAACCTAGTTTGCCCCATTCAGATCTAACAATTCTTTATCCAGAAGAAAATACAGTCTGAGCACCAAGTCAATGCACAACCTGACACAACCTCCTCCTAGAAGGACTCTAACACTGCAAGCACCTGAGCACATCAGCCAAGCAAATTATCTGAAAGCCCAGTGTTGAACAGTATCCATCACAGTCTGTAATGATGGTTCTCTCTAAGCCTTCAGCAGGCACTAAGATCAGCATTTCATAACCTCAATCCTTGAATTTGAGAAGTTATTAACTTGTATTACTGTTTCTTCACACAACTTCAATGGCACTTCAGATTTTCAGTACTCTCCCAGTTTCAAGCTGAATTCTGCCATGGAAAATTAATGTGCTGTTTTCATCCTGATAGGTGAGGAGGGGAGCCGACAATTTTCACACAATTATCCTCAGTTTTCCTTTTTTAATTTCAGTTTCCATAAATTTGGTTCTCATTCAATAATATGAACAGTCAGCTGTTGTTCAAAATCCTCTACAACTTACTTAAATGACACTCACACTCAAAACTTAGTGGAGGGGGGAAGGAGAAAAAGGGGGGAAAAAACCCAAATCAGTCTAGAAGGTAAAAATCTACTGCTCTGAACTACTACAACGTGTTTTAATTCTCCAGCTCCTACAGCACCGACTACACAACAACCTCATATTCAGTTTAAAGCAATTCCCCTTTCATGAGCAGGATAAAAACCAGAAAATCTTCTCTGGAAAGCCACCTAGACCATAACAAAATACACAAACCATAAATTATCCCCCAAAAAACAAACCCAAAACCCCACAAAACCATACAAAACCAACAAACAAAACCCCAAAACCCAAACAAACAGATGATGTTTAAAAATAATGAACAGTTAACGCTTTCATCCTCCCTGCAATGATGACTTTGGAAATCTTAGCAATCCTGCCCACCCCAAGACTTGAAGTCATCCACCCAACTCCAAGATATGCTTATGAAAATATTCTCAATGAAAATGTACTTTTAATTTGTAAAACACAGAATCACTTTCTGCTATGCACTCGTGCACATGTTTCAACATTTGTCACCCTGTACAGCCACATATCAACAAAACAAAACGATTGCACTGAATTCTACTATTATTATCATTCAGTGTGTACAGGGGAATTTCTACTACAATAACAATTTACATGCTTTCAATTCTGGCTACTTAACAAATACTATTTTTAAAAAAATACTAAGAGGCAAATTATTTCAAATTGACACTAATTAAGCAATAATGAATACAGTGAGTTTTGTGGCAGAGTGAGATGAAGATGCTTTTATAAACCAGCACTGGGATTTTCTGTGCTTTCTTTTAATTTCTTAAAATGAAACTGCAAATGATCTCTACACAGATAGAGGCTGACTTGAAACACAAGTCTCTTCTATATCTGTTCTTCAAAGCTTAAAAAACTCCACAATTAATCTGCTCTCCCCACAATAATGTGAAGACTGTTTCTCTAGATAGTATCTTAAATAAATCTGTCAAGTGTATAATATGATCTTTTATGGCTTTTCAAAACTCTTGCAATGCCTTTTTTTAAGATGATGCTAAAATTAAATTGCTAGCAACCTCCAGTGGTGGAAGACAGGACTTATTGGTCTCACAAAGTAAAAAAAAAAATTTAAGTTTATGAAACTGTGAATAAAGGAAGTCTGCCTGAAAATTTCTTTACAGCTATCAAGAGTTCTAGACATAATCTTAATAATTTTGTTTGGGGGAACTTTTTTAAAAAGTAATTCCTTTCCATTTTTTCACTCAAACTTAATTCTGAAATGTTCTGTATAAATTCTCCATCCACTGGTTTAGTCAAAATCCGCTGGTTTGGATTATGGGGCCTTGAGTTTTTCTGACAAACAAGATTTTATGTTCTCTAGTTTAACAGTATTTTCTTAGAGAATAGCAGCCTTTGTGTGTGAATAATACGCAATATGCTTGCTCTGTCTCTGTCTCTGCTGTGCATACATGGATTTTTCACTGATTTTTCAGCTAGCTTTGTCAGTTTTTCTAAACCTCTTTGTCTTGCATTTTATGCTCTTATAATCGACTTTGTTTTGTTAACAAGTAATGTGAGAATAAAGAAAACAGTAAAGGCATCCACGCTGATGGCAGCAAATATACAGTGTAGCACAAGGATTTGTCATACAATACATGTATAATGCTATATTCTTGCAGATTGAAGGATAACAGAGAAAGATCCTTAACTGGTATCTCAGAAAAATAAGAATACCACCAACACATTTCAAATACTCTAAGTTGCTCTAAAAACGAACAAAAAGTTTGTAATTTGATTCTACTGCTCATTGAATAATATACATTTTCAGTCATTAAATGCAGGTTTGAATTTAATAAACTTGAATATAGTGTGGCACATCAGTCCTCACCATAAACACAATTTGTACATTACAGGTGTGACAGAACTTTATACATAACTTCATTCTTATGATAACTCATGGATGCTAGAAAAATGGCCACATCCATTGAAGCATGCAGAAAAACTTTTCTCAACTCTGATTTCCCTATCTTCATCCCCTCAACATACTGCAGCCATGTGCTGCAAGCACTAATACACATCTGTAATCACCAATTTCTCCTTCTGTTTTCACTTGTTTTCTTTAACAAACAAACAAGCACCAGCTGGCACAAGTAATCCGAATTCATTTCCACTGCAGCAAGTACATCCCAGTGTGTGCTACTACTAAACACCACAGCATGTTTTGTTACACCCAAATTCTGAATATATATCATATACTCAGAAATATACATCTATCATTGTTCCTAGCAAAGTTAAATGCTTTTACCTCTAGTAATACTTTTTTGCAGTCTGTGCTCTCTAAGTCAGAAAATACACAGTGCCTACTCCTCTCTCTTAAACAAGGGAGAATGCTCATGTAATCCTGCTTTAATAAACAGTATTGGATATGAAGGCATAGATGGAAGAATTCTCTTGCAAGATCTCTACATGTTCTTCAGAGAATTATACGGATACCTCCAATTGCTATGCAACAGATAGAAGCTTCAAAAAGGAAAGCAATTCCCAATCAAATATTCTGTTCAATCACAGAAGGAACAGTTCAATAAAGGTCACAGGAAAGTTCAAAAACTCATGTTTCTGACCTCATGTTGTTTTGTGGTCATTATTTGAAATTACTATTTCAAATAAAGATAAACCAGAAAAGATTAAACTGTCAGGGTAAATGTAAGTCCT